CACACACACACACAGACAGACAGAAATTGATTAAAGCGAGCACACGAGAGTGTTTCTGTGAGTTCATTATTTCTCTGAGTTCATGATGAGGACTGTTTCCATCGAAACATGCTCGGGGGAGGTGGGGGAAATTGGGGGGCCCCAAAGCTTTGTAGATGTTGTTCGTCCCACCCGCCCAAGACGCTCAAGTCGTTCGTGTTTCTCGACTGGGCAGGTAAAGTCTGCAAGGCTGACCAACCAGAGAGGTCTTGAGAGCCACTGCGGAAAAATCAATGCAGGCAATGCAGGCTCCGCATGCTTGGACGGGCCCGGGCTTCTCATGTGGCACAGCGAGCAACATCAGTAGGTTGTAGAGAGGTGAGTCGTGCTTGCCTGGCTGTGCGGCAGGATCGAGCAAATGCATCGTCTGCTGTTGGAATTGTTGTCCGAACATGTCCCAGCTCTTTTTCTTCAAGCGGCAATGGCACAAGCTTCAGGAGCAGGCGGCAGCACTGAGCCATCTGGCGCGCCAGGCCGTCAAGCCTCTTGTCACGAACAATTCTTCAGGTGTGGAGTTGCCAGTGGTTGATGTGGCTCTGCCAAGGATAGACAAATACACGCCTGAAGCTTGCATCATCATCGGAAACTATTACAGCCTGAAGGGTGAGCATGAGAAGGCCGCGCCATACCTCCGTTCACCAAGTGAGAGTGTGCCTAACACTGGAGGTTTTGGGCCAGGGTTTTTCCAATCTAAGAAGTGTGAAGGCCGTGATCTACTTTCGGCGAGCTCTTGCGCTCAATCGCCATTTCACTCCAGCTTGGATTCTGACCCTTCGCAGCAAGAGAATAGGCATCAGTGCGCAAGAATCGGGTCAGCATATGCTGTTTTGGCGGGGTTTGAATAGCTTCAGGATGGGTCATGAGTTCATGGAGATGAAGAACACTGCCGCCGCACCTTGGAGCTTTCAGCTTACCCGTTTGTGCATTCTATTGCAGTCAAGATGCAGCATGCTGGGAACAAGAGGAGCAGCTGACTTCCAGTTCCCTCTTCTATTTCTCTATCCCTTGAGGTCCTAGTCTACTATAGTCTAAGCAGGTAGCTGCCCTTATGCTGCGAGGCAATTGATGCTTACCGGACAGCCGTGACCATCAACCGGCGGGACTACAGAGCTTGGCCAGCTGCTGCAAGTGTGATGCTTCTGAGAAAAACCTCTCCCTATGGGCGATTTTAGTAGTTAGTATGTCAGTTTCGTAGTGGAACGCGGCAGATTGCACAAAGGTATGGGTTGGGGCAGACCTACGAGCTGTTGAGCCTCTTGGTCCTCGAAAAAATCTCCGTGTTACGTGACCTTGCGCAAGAGAGACCTACCACCAAGGCCTTCACTTCTACGCTCTTTTCTACTACCGCCGCTTATGCTGTGATGCTTTGGTTTTTGGTGGGGGTTGCGTTGAGTGGATCCCTTGTGCCCTAGGACAAGCGATGTCCCTCCGGCCAGATGATGCACGAATGTGGTGCGCCATGGCGCAGTGTTGCTCAGACCCGCAAGCCTGCAGGAGGCAATGTATGATCAGCCAAGAAAATCCAGATCTGGATCAGGTTATGACCACATGGACAGAAAGGTGGAGGCAGGAACGCTGAAACTATGACCGTAGATCCGGCGGATATAGAGTGTTGGTCAGTTACTTGTGCCAGCAAGAAGACGGAGAGTTGTTCATGTTTTCTCATGGGCCGCCGGCGAGGCACTGAAGTGCTACGAGAAGGCGCTGTCCCGCAAACCATTGTGTTTCAGGGCCCGCCGATGAGAACGTGAGGCACACCGCTGTGGAGACATGGAGCGGATGGCCCTGCCCCGCCTCGCACGACTGCATCGCGACCATGGAGATCACAGGCACGCACGTTACACGCTGGTGGCCGGTTCAGTACCGGACAGCCAGAACTTGCCGCCGTTTCGTGATAGCTGTTCTTCGATGTATTGGCTTTCGTGTTTAAAACATGTACATGTAGGCAAGCTGCCGCCTACTACGGCCAGATGCTGGAGCAGAGCGGACATTCCAGGATAGTAAGCAGCGCTTCAGGACGGCAGAGCGTCATTCGCACAGGAAGGTGTCCTGTGTCTTTCTTTTTTTCTCATCGCTCGCTGAGAGGTGTGCGCCCCGACCCGTCTGGCTTGGAGAGCATCGCCTCGGTGCGGCGGCCCCTTGCGGGCGCCCTGCAAGGGGGGCTGGCAAGCGAGAGTGTGGTGGCTTGCCAAGCAATGCTGGCCCGTCTGCAACTCTTCTCAGAAGTCAGACACCTTGTCTGCTTGTTGCGAGGAAGCGCTGCGCTTTCTGATGAATTTCTTTGCAGAGGAAAGCGCTCGGATTCGATGCAGCAGTGGCACTTTTTCTCGTGTGTTCCATTTTTCCAGGAGGGCCGTTTGGCAGAGGCAGAGGCCTGTGCAACGCAGCTTCTCGACACTACGGGCTCTGAGAAGGCCTCTGCATGTTCATGGGGATGTTCGTGCAGTTACACAAAGGTTTTTCGCGTGAAGCGTTAGAAAAGGGCCATCTGGAGACGTTGTATACGTGAGCATACATCATGCAAGCGGGGCTTGTGTTGGTTGCCGGTGAGGACGAAGCAAAGGCGCTGCTTCGGAATCTGCGCCTTCGAACGCCAACATGAGAGCTCGCAGAAAAACAGATGTGCGCTGCACCCGGGAACGTACGTTTTCCCGCTCCAAGTTGCCAGACAAAGTGCCAGGACCCTTCCCTGTGCCGCAAGGCGTTAGGTTCTGGGGCGGAAGGCGCCTATGTGCTTGGAGCCAAGGTGGCTCCAGACCCACATCCGCCCCAAGTGACTTTTGGAGCTTTGTCGTTCCCGTGCCAGCTCTGCTTTCCTGCCGCATCAGCCGCATGGCCGTAGCTGACCAAACTCCAAAGAATCCCATCGCCCAGCAAGCATCACTCTCGAGTCGAGGTCACCCCTGGATTCGGAAATTACTTTCCCCATGAACCAGCTGTGTGCTCAGATGTCCCGAATTTGCGGCGTGGAGTGAGATAGTTCGACACGCAACAGTGCATCGTGAAGTGGCCTGACTTGCAGTCGCATGCACAAAGCTAGGCCAGCCGCACCGTTGAAGTTTGCAAAGTCAACCTGCTGAGAACTCTTTGTGGTGCTGTCTTCTACCCGGTTCTTGATTCCCTTTCGTCCGATGCATGCGGGTCCTTCGTTTTGGAACTTTCAGTGATTTCATAATCCGGCATTGACGACTGTTCACGATGGGCGCTGGATAGCCAGCTTGTGCAGAAGCGCCCTTTGAGGGTCCAGGATTTGCACTTACCGGCCAGATGCAGAGGTTGTCCAGCTTGGCAGGAGAAGGGATTGAGCGGCAGCGTTCGAACTCACGGCGGCAATCTTTAAATCGACTTCAATCCGTGCAGGGATGGCGAAAGCGTGGCCCTGCAACAGGCCACAAGGACATCGACAGGCTTGATAATCTTTCGGCATAGCCACAACCTTCCAACCAAAGCTGGATAACCTTAAGTCTCTGTGTCCGCAGTGGGCTCCTGCTGCGTGGGCCAAGGTTGGCGAGTGCCAATGTTGAGGCAGACGAAGATGGCTGGACAAACGACATTAGGGATTTCCAAAAGGCAGGTCTCCAAGCATTCAGCAGCTCGAAGGAGTGTGGCAAACATGGGCGTGACAGCTGTCTGGATAGTCCGGAAGGCTTGTATCGACATGAGCGATGCCGTCGGCGGGAACAAGTGGCCTGAGGTGGGAGACAGTACGGAAGGCTGTCTTTCGGATCTTTCGGCACTCCCTCGGAACTCCTCCAACGTGCTGTGCTGATCTGCAGGCCTTAATGCCTCATTAGGTCCATGGATGGGGCTGCATGCACACGGACAGTGGCGCCATGAGAGCTGACTTCGAACAGCAGTGCATGCATATGTGCAAGGCTTCTGCCAACACCCAAGCCAGCATCACAGATACGTTGCATGACTGCTCGGCTGTTACTGTGCCGTCGCAATTTGGCCATGCTGCGCTGCATCTGGCTTGGCGCTCTTTGTGTCAGAGGTGCCGTCGGTGCCGAGAGAGAGCCTTGACCGTTTCAGCGCATGGTCTCAGCGCTTCTGGCGCTATGGTGGATAACAGGCCTTCTCGTCCACGCAGAGGAGACGTGCGCACAGAATCAGAACGACCAAGACGAGGCGACCGAGGCATAGTGGATTCAATTTCGCAGATAAGTGCACCAGCTTGGGCTGTAGAGATCTGGTTCGGTGGTGCCAGGCAGCAACTTTGGCGGATGGCACCCAGGAGCCGGACTCGTGGCTTGTGGGGCTTGTTTCAGCCCTTTCGCCAGGCCTTTTGTAAATAGAACAGCACTCGAAGTCATGCGACAGCCTTCGTCGCCGCGCGAGCGGCTCTGCTACCAGGACTGCGGATGCAGCTCCCTCAGCCGTGGTGCCTCAACAAAAGGCGAGCGCAGTGAGCCTGTGAGGCCATGGTCGTCAGATGTGCACAGCAGCATGCGGCCATTTGCAAGAAGTCAAAGACTGATTTCAGGTTCGATGGCCTGTCGGACTCGGCGAAGAGGCGCGGAAGAGAGATGCCAGGACCTGTAAACAATTCCACATGGAGACTTGGTCAGCCTGTCGAAGGCACAACGAAGACATGGTGAGCATTCCTGCGGGTCGCTTTCATATGGGCGAGCGGAAGGACAGAGTGCACTTCCCGCAGGCCGGGCGTGCCAGCGGCAAGACCTGACTTTGTGTCCTTAGCAAAGAGCCCTTGTGCATTCCAGCTGCCACGTCCTGTAGGACGGTGAAGGCCCTGTGCGGCCAGTGCAAATGTCCGGCTTCTGGATGGATCGCTTCGAAGTGAGCAACGAGAAATGGCAGGATTTTGCGAGAGAAACGGGTTACCTCACGGACGCCGAGCGTTTGGGCGACTCGTTTGTAGCAGAGACCTACCTTTCAGAAGCCGTCAACAAGACCATACACAAAAAAGTAGACGCAGTGCCTTGGTGGCTGCCCGTTCCAAATGCTTCGTGGCACAAGCCGGAGGGCATTGATCCTGGGCAAGCACCAGGTATATTTGTCTCTCTGCTTTGGCTGGGTGTTGCTGTTTTGCTGACCCACGATTGTTATCAAGGACAGCTCGCTGAGCGGAGTGGGCAGCAGATATGGAGATCGCTGGAACCATCCAGTTGTACATATCTCGTGGATACTTGGATGTGGTGCACTGAAGCATGTGATGTCTGCTTCGACTTTTCTGCTATTGTTGTGTCGGTCGGTGCTCATTGGAAAGGAACGATGCGGAGGCATATTGTAGATGGAGAAATGCTTCCCTGCCTACGGAGGCCAGGCTGACTCTAGTGGCCAGTGCCCTCAACAGTGCATATGCGATGGTTGTTGCTGCCGGGAACGGGGCGTGTATCCTCGTCGAAATGATGTTTCAGAGGCTGGCTGGCTGTCTGCCTGTCTGTCTGCCGTTCCCATGAGTGGACAGCGGGAGCTCCATAAGTACTGTCAGCCCGCATGTTGCGGTTGACTTGCTGACCTACTGTCCTGTCGTATTTCCTATGGGCTGTAGTTCCTATTGAAGTGTCGGGCGTGCAATTCCTTGCGATTCGATTTGAGTTTCAGGCACAGTGGGAATATGCAGCAAGAGGCGGCCTTGAGGGCAAGCTGTACCCTTGGGGCGACACAACGCATCTTCGACTAAAGTAGCATGCAAGAGTCAAGTCTGGATCCAAAAAGTACCGCTGTGAGTCCGAGGTTTGGGAACGAAACAGAGGGGATGCCGCGACGGCACCGGATGAACATCTGGCAAGGCACGTTCCCGAAAGAGAACACGGCCAAAGACGGCCGCTGGCTCAAATCCTGAAAGCAACAGCTTCCACGTGCCCTGGGCATGCTGCGTCAAGGATACCCGAAGACTGCACCGGTGGATGCCTACGGTCCGCAGAATGCTTCGCACTTGCATTTCAGACTTGGAGCCGAAAGGGCTAAGATATTCGGGGGCATACTCAGCCAAGGCCGAAAGGGTCCAATAAAAAGCTTGCAGAACACAACGCTAGCGAGCCATTGTTCTCACACTACCGTGTTGCACAGCCACGAGTTGTGACAGGCACATACAAACCCAACAGTGTACATCGCAACATCGCAGTTGCAGGGGCCACCGCATGGTGCCTGTGATGCCGGGCTGACGCAGAAGGCTGCAGAAGACAAGACCGAATTCACCGCGAAACATATTTCCGTTTCCGCGCAGGCACCTTTGAAGCTGTCTGAAACAGCGGTCGAGGGTCGAAGCTAGTATGCAACACTTCGGCGCCACAATCGTGTAATCCCGGCCGGCATGCTGAGAACCACTGTGTTGGTCAGGACTTGCGTGTGTGTAGTCGTGGTTTATTGTGCACATCTGCAGCCAGCAATGCAAACCTTAGGATTGGGGCTTATACAATATGGTGGGCAATGTATGGGAGTGGACCGGCGATTGGTACAGCCCTGTTCATTTCCTGACCGACAAGAACAAGGATACGGGTTTAGTGGACCCAAGAGGACCGGCATCTTTCCTGCATGAAGAGCTAGCAACTAGCGTTCAGATTGGTGGGCCGAGGGACTCCTCTCCCCGCAGCTGAGGAAATCGAGGAACTAGATGAGATAGTTGAGATGGGCTATCTGAAAAAGGACTCTTCCGGACAATATGCCGCTGGATTGCACCTGGCCAGTGCAGCCTGCGTTCCTGTCAGACAGTGAGAACCCCGAAAGATCTGAAGACACAAGGAGAAAATCAAGAAAGGCGGCTCTTTCATGTGCCACAAGTCCTATTGCTACTCGGATTCTGGAGTTGCCGCCCAGCAGCAATAGACGGAGTTCCGCCAACAACGCTTGCACATGCAGGCTACCGCTATAGAATCTGTGCCCGCAGCCACCTTACAGCCGATGGTTCCGCCCATCACACCGGCAGCTTGGTCACACCTTTGCATGATTTTGTTGGTTCGGACAGAGTGTGTCGTGTGCCAGCTTTTGGCGGCCAGCAAGCCTTGCAACTTGCACGCAACAGTTTTTGACATGCGTGAAGCACTTTGTGCCTGAGGAGTGCGCTGTGCCAGAGAGCTGCAACAAACGAAGACATGACGAATGGCTTGAAAGCCACCGTGTTGGATTATGTTTCCTAGCCTTCTCCACATATTCGAGAAGCTTGTGGCAGTTGGCTGTTGGACGAAGTTTAACTTGGAAGCGGCATCGCGGTCACATGCTGAAGCTTGTCAGAAGCCTCAGCTGGACGATCTTTTGATTGAGGGAAGCTTTCTTGAAGTCCTTTCGGTTTCAGGAACAAGGAGTCCTCACCAGAGTCTGCCCGTCTTGGAAGTACAGTGCCGACATGTGGGCAAGTTCTCACGGCATCCCGACACCAGACTCAGCGAGATCAAAAAAGTCCTACTGCTACGTGCTCGCCGGGGACGTGGCTCTGAGCCATTTCCGCTGTGAAGGCAATGTCCGGCTTTAAGAAGGCCAAGGAGGCTCTCAACGGCATCATGGGAAAGATTAATGTTCGAGCCCGCGCCCCAGGCATCACTCCTTCCGACCTGATATAATCTCGCCCATAGACACAGCCAAATGCCAACCTACTCTTATCTGACCGCCCCTGTGCCTCACTCAATTTGAGCAGACAGGACAAGGCAACCCCGAAACAGCCTGTTCACGAATTTGAGCTGAGGCAGAAGGCCCAGCTCCTTTCGTGCTGATAGATGTCGTCCTGGCATGTGTCGTGGTGTTCCATTGGTTGGATGTCACGGGTGGCAGACTTCAAGAGGTCCTTTCATCCGTCGGCTGCCTTCCGTGCGATCATGATGCCTCCGAACATGCCAGGATGCGTACGAAGACAGAGCTTCCGCCTACTTGCAGAAGAAGAAGGTGCAGTGCACAGGTTTATCTGCCGGCCTGTGCAATGAGGGTTTGAAGTCCAGCCCGAGCGCAAAGGATGGGGGGCCCGGGAGCCCGCGCATGTCTGCATGCTTCTCAACTGTTTGTGGGAGGACATGATGGCCTTCCGAAACCAAGCGGGCACCCTTGCATTGAGATGAGAAGCTGTGCCGGCGAGAACCTTCTCGAAGCTTCAAACATGCAAGAGACATCATCGCAACACGACGAGTCGCCAATTGGAGGAGTGATAGGTCTGATAAGCGATATGTGTTAACTAGATTCAGTTTTCGATGTGGCATGACCCCGGGCATGGTGGACAAAGGAGTCCGGACTAACAGAAGAGTGCAATATTGGAGGTGTTTCCTTCGTTTTGACAGCCTGGGAGAAGACAGCTACATCCCATCGACGTTTGAAGTCGGAGCTTGGATCCGCGAACTTACTTTGGGCCTGCCGTGCGTCGTTTCAAGTAGGACCCTTTGGTGGAACAAGGGCCGGCTCATTTCAACAACACTCGTCAGGTTCTGAATTCTGGATCCTCATTGCAATCTTTCGGTGCTGGTACAGAAAAATATATGTCTGATTTCTCTTGTGGAGATGCCTACTAGATTCGGCCAGATATAGATAGAACTAGATATAAAACTTTAGATATAAAACTTTAAATGTTATCTATACGAAATTCCTAGAAATGAATAAATACATAACAACAATTATAAACATATAACAAAATTGAATGAATAAATTCATGGCTACATAATTATTTAATTAATTGAATAACTATTAAAAAATCTGAGATATAATATGTAAAATTCAACAATAAATATAAAAATAAATTAATATATATATATATATTTATATCTATATTTTCATACATCTTTTTTTAATCGGAAAAAAATAAATTTAATTTGATTCTATAAATAGAAAATTGCTTATAAGAAATTGCACGAAATCTATAGAGAAATATATTTTTTTGAATTTCGTTCGAACTATAAATACTTTTTAATCGTGATCTATTTGATATGAGATAACTAATACATTTTTCGATAGCCATTCGATAGAT